CTCTAATCGTCTTTCTACCCCCACCATTGCCATCAGCGGTCCATTCTAGATGTCGATGGTTGAGACAGTACGAACAACACGAAACAAATGAATTTTCGTTCTAACTTGCTAATTTTCTCTCGCAAAATAGGATTACGTATATATATTACATATATTTCGATACGAAATACATATTATAAATAGCTAACCTCTAATTTATTTGATCTGGTCAATACATCGACATCTAGAATGGACCGCTGATGGCAATGGTGGGGGTAGAAAGACGATTAGAGTGAGAGGCAGGAATAATAAGATCGTTCTTTCTCTGTTTATTGTTGTTCTAACTAGCCTGATTGGTTGTTGGATTAACAACAACCAATCAGGCTTCAGTAAACAGAGAAAGAACGATCTTATTATTCCTGCCTCTCACTCTAATCGTCTTTCTACCCCACCATTGCCATCAGCGGTCCATTCTAGATGTCGATGGTGAGCCCGGATCCTCATACGGGCAACAGCCCTTTGACACCGAACGCTGATTGGTGAAAAACGGGTGATGGGGGTAAATTTTACCACCGCAACCGGCTTTTCACCAATCAGGGTATCGATCATGTAACTTTTTCCCTAGGGCAGAAACGTAAAAAGTGAAAATTTATTGTATGTATGTGTGTATATGTTCATACATACATTCATAAAAGTTTTCACTTTTCACATTTCCGCTCTAGAGATAAAGTTATATGATTGATACCCTGAGCTCTGTGTCAAAGCGCTGTTGCCCGTATGAGGATCCGGGCTGAGAATGCCGTCATATGCGGCGTAACCTGCGTAAGCGTAACCTGCGTATTCTAGTAATTTACTAGAATACGTTATTTTTTATTTACTAGAGGTGCGTTCCGTATCGCGCATGATGTGCATGATGCATCCATTGTCCTTGTTTAACATTTGGTGAGCAACAAAGATAAACGATGCATTATACGCATCATGCGAGAAACGGAACGCACCCTAGAATACGCCATTCTGAAAGCCCGCATTCACATTGAGCGTATTTCGCGAAAGATTAGAGAAATGCGGAACTAAATGCAACCACTTGCTGATTAGAATTTCTGTTGTACTCTAACAGAAATGCTAAATGAATTTACGATTGGTTTTCGTAACCTACGCATCTCGAAAAGTACGCCTGATAGAGAACCGGTACCTTTCTCGTATATATGAGCGGATGATCGAATAAATTATTAAAATCGGAAAATTTTGTGAAACCCCTCTTAGGCTTATTCGACGCGTTTTTCATGAAACAAAAGAATCTGGCAAAAAAACGTCGTTCTGCCTTGTGATCTACGATATTAAGCGTTAAAGTTGATGACTATTGAGGTTAGGAAATCTGTCACAGAGGCAAAATGAGGTCTATAATTGTACTGTTCCACATGGGTTTCGACTTTTCACGCGATGCAAAGGGGCGCACGACTTTTATAATTTTGCTGTTGCAAAATCGAAACCCTTGTGCATTTTTTCAGACAGAATAAGCTAAAATGAGCCAGAAATTAGATTCGACGCATAGTGGTTCTATCATGTTTCGGCGTAACAACAAAATAGCGTAAAAAGCATAAAGTGATTAGACAGAAACTGATGTTCAAGTGAAATGATATGATTGGTCGGCGCAAGTTACGCTTACGCAAGTTACGCCGCATGTGACGGCACCCTGACAGCCCTTCTACAATAAGCCGCAAGTCAAAATTTCTAAATGATCTAAAGGCCCGTCTACAATACACGGAGTAAGAAGTAAGAGTAAGAAATTGACCAATCATAGTCGATTATTTTTCTCACATTCGACTGTGATTGGTCAATTTCTTACTCTTACTTCTTACTCCGTGTATTGTAGACGACGCCTTAAGTCATAATTGGTGAAGTTGGCCAATAGCCAACTTGAACGACTTGGTTAAGATTGGTTAATAGCGTTTTCGATTGGGCAAAAGTTAGTGCGCACCAGTGCGCACTCAGTTCACACCAACACTGGACGAGTTCCATGGGTTGCATTGAATAGTGCAAGTTCAAAAGAATACGCCAAGATTTTCAGTGCTAAAGCTGAAACTCATTTTTGTTCACTTTGAAGCAATGTTCAACAAAATGTTACAATTAACCTGGGTTGGATTAATCTTTCCTATTGGTTGATGTCACACGCTCTACCAATAGGAGAGCGCAAAACGCCATTAATCCAACCCAGGTTGGTGCAAACTCGGTCGGGCCGAAAACGCTATAAGAGTAGGGACAAGACCCCGTTTTCAATTCAACTGCGCAGATTTGCTTGTCCCTATGTATATCCTTAACTGTGATAAAACGTGCACTGAACTGGCACCGTCAAAATATCTCGTGCCACTTTAGTGCACACTGAGTACGCACTACGCGAGTGTCGTGCGATCAAATGAACACGTGACACTAACCAAGTGCTCATTGGCACTGCCAATCGAACACGCTCTTGACACTGAGTGCAGCCAGTGCACCCCAATCGAAAACGCTATAAGACTTCTGACGTTCTGACTTGCGGCTTATTGTAGAAGGCCTATGAAAAATATCGAGTCCAAGTCACTAAAAGAAAATTTCAGTCCTTGGGGTCGATTCTGTATCTTCAAACAAGATGAAAATTACAAAAGTGAGCAAATTTACTAGGTGTTGACCAGTGAAATTATCAGTATTCTAGTAAATTCGCTCACTTTGTAATTTTCACTTCATTTCGAGATACAGAATCGATCTCCTTGATACAGTATCCTTTTTTTTTTGTTTTGGTAGTTTGACGCGATCGGCGCTGGTTGAATGTTTTGTGTCCGATGAAGGATTTTTGCGCATGCGCGGAAGATTTTTCAGTGACCCGATGGAACAACATTGCGTCGATGGTCGACGTCGTCGTTGGTCGTCGTGTCGTATCGTGTCATGTCGTGTCGTGGGTCGTGGATATAGTGGTCTTATCATACAGGCTGTAACATAATAGTAGACGTTGTCATCTTGCGAGTCGCGAATCGCGCAAAACTGCGCGAGAGGCGTGATGCGCAAAAAGTGTAATCGATGTGATGTTTTGCGAGGGATATAACGAGGTGGGTGGTGAGATTTCATTTTTTTTCTCAATCGATCTGTCTGGTCTCTTGGATCCTAAAATTTCCTTAATTTGACATCAAGTACATCGCAGAATTACGGCACAGTACAGCCAGTACAGGCTTGTTGGCGAGGTTGCGATTATTTTGCCAAATTCCCTCCCCTGCAATTTATTTCTGCAATTCATTTCTTACAATATCGTAATCGTAATAATGTTTGATCGATGTTTGACGACATTTATTTATTGCGTCATATTTCGTGCCTTGATTTCTTTATTTGCAGACACCATCCTGGGTAAACATGGTTATGCAAAGCAGAATCTGCATGCTGGCCGCTTTGCACACCCACATTTTCCGTCTTCTTTACACTTTATACCTAATTTTTTCGCCTTTCAAAATTATCTACAGTTTCTCTAGATTTTATACTTTTCCATTTACGTTTCTTACTTCATCTATATTTTATCTACAATTTCTTTTATCTTTTTCATTTTACCGATTTTTGTTTGTTTAATAAACTTTACACACACACACACATACCCAACAAACATTGAAGTATACTTTATGAAGAAAATGATAAGGTCTAAAAATAATTTATCCATATCTCTTCATTCAGAATCTTTATTACTTATTAATTGTTATTTTCTAAGCTAATTAAAATTTTATGCTTGGATGAACAGACTTTGATATTTCTATTTTATTCCATCAAAATGTAAACCATTAATAAAAAAAACAATAGCTTGCCTAAAGTATTTTTTTAGTTAAAAAAATTAAATAATCATAATTTTCTTCTTCATTTGATTTTTATATAATTTTATTTTTTTTTCTATTGTCTTACAGAATGCCGATACAGGCACCACAGTGGACTGAATTCCTGTCGTGTCCAATCTGTTGCCATGACTTTGACGTGGCTATACGAGGTCCCATATCACTTGGCTGTGGCCACACCATATGTCGTGCTTGCTTGGCCAATTTACACCGCAAGCAATGTCCTTTCGATCAGGTAGCAATATAGGTATTTCAGTATTACATTACTCAATAAGAAATAGTCAACACTTTCAAAATGTTCAAAATTGCACAATTTTCAGATTGTTGTCGAATCTCTGTGAAAACTTACTGTAGACAAAATAAATTTTTTTTAACAGTAAAACTTCTTACTTTTTAACATACTTTTGGCCATTTTCCCAAAAAAAATGTTTATCTTTACAGTTATATATCTTAGCAAAGATCACTTTATTACGTTCCTTAAAATTACATACATTTAACAGTCTGCAGCTTGATAAAAAATTTTCTCCAAAAAATTTAATACTTTTATAAAAAAAGTGTAAAAGGTATTAAAAAGAGTTTGAAATGCTTTTCTACAAATTTTCTTATAATTTTTCTTGATCGAATTACGCAACTTTGAAGCTAGATTTACATTTCTTACAAATCAATGTTGAAATTCAACAAAAAATCATCGTGAAAATTTTGTATCTCTCCAATTTTGCAGAATTAAAATTAAAAACTATCAAATAATATTTTGATAGTTTAAAAACTATCAAAAGCATGTTTAAGTATAAACTCGGAGCTTCAAAATGCTTTTTTAATTCTTGATCTGAAAATAGGGAAATTTTGAAAGTGCTTTTCCCTATTTTTCGTTGAGTAGTATTATATATATATATATATATATATATACGTTTCTATACATGCGTGCATGCATGTATGTATGTATATGTATACATAGTATATTTGTATGTATAGCATACATATGTACATTGCTAATAATTCTATAAACAGTTTTTTATTTTGTTTATCCTTTTCACAGAGCATTATCAACACCGACATCGAAAAATTACCTGTAAATGAGGCACTGTTACAATTACTGGGCAATCCGATTGTTGCTTCATCAACACCTGCATCGAATCAACAGCAGAATTATCAGAAGCTTCTGCCAGCCGATCAACATGTTAATTACCTGAGGGCTAAGAATTGCATTGAAGAACTTGCTCTTTATCTTAAACCATGTCAAATTAGTAATACTGCAGGTATGCAGTATGCAAAATTTTTAAATATCCAATATAAATAACCATTGAAAGATAACAAAAATTATATAAAATCTATCGTATAAGGAATATATGTGCAATAAGCAATTAAACAATGTTATACGTTGTATTACACAAATGCAATAATACTGTGTATTACAGTAGATTTTGTTAAGATTATTGTATTTTATTACACATACGAATTATATAATATTTTAAAATATATATGACGTCTAATGTACATATAAGCACACGCACCCATATGATTTGTTGCCACATTTACTTGTGTGATGAATTATATTTGTTTGTTACATAGGCATCGGAAGCGGAGGTGGAGGATTGGTATCACGACCCATGCAACGCAAATTGGTGACGTTATTAGGTTGTCAATTAGTCGAACCAGAAGGTAGAGCACGTGCATTGCGTGCTGCTCGTAGTCTTGGTGAGCGCACCGTCACAGAGCTTATACTACAGCACCAGAATCCTCAACAACTCAGCGCTAATCTTTGGGCGGCCGTGCGTGCACGTGGTTGTCAATTTCTTGGACCAGGTAAATTTTATTTACACAAGATAATTATGCAATTTGAATAAGCTGTATCTTTCAATGTATGTAAATAATAGATTATATATATATATATAATGTGGCATTATTTTCCTAGAACTACAATGAAGTGTTTGTTTTGCACGCTCTTACATTGTAAGCATTATTTCAGTCTCGTCTGCTAAATATTAAACAAGGGCAAATGATGTTTACAACGCTATAAACGCCAAAGGGAATGCACTTATAAATTACATTCTTTTTAAATATCATTTTTCTATAGTTATTCTGCATATAGAAAAATCGAAATAAAGTCTCAAAGGGATGTAATAACTTGTAAGATGTGCGTGCGCGCACATATTATGTGTTACATTTTCTTGGATAACTTATTTCTATAATTGTCTTTGTATTTTTGTTATTGTCATTTTTAGCGATGCAAGAGGAAGTTCTCAAACTTGTGCTATTGGCTTTGGAGGATGGCTCTGCTCTGTCACGTAAGGTATTGGTGATGTTTGTAGTACAGCGTCTGGAACCACATTTTCCTCAAGCTAGTAAGACCAGCATTGGACATGTGGTGCAGCTTTTATATCGGGCGAGTTGTTTTAAGGTAAATATGTGGTGGTTCACATAAAAGGATTTAAACGCTTTTAATAAAACATTGTATAGACATTTTTTTACTATACAATTATGTATATTAAATATATTATTATCGTTTTCTGTCATGTATTATGTACGTTTTTAGGTATCAAAGCGCGAGGGTGACTCATCTCTAATGCAATTAAAAGAAGAGTTCCGTACTTATGAAGCTCTAAGACGGGAGCATGATGCACAGATTGTACAGATAGCCACCGAGGCAGGCTTGCGTATTGCACCTGACCAATGGTCAGCGTTGCTCTATGGCGATACTGCTCACAAATCTCACATGCAAAGCATCATTGATAAATTGCAGACACCACAATCGTTCGCCCAGAGTGTCCAGGAGCTTGTAATAGCGTTGCAACGTACACCGGATCCTGGACAACTGAGCGGTCTCAGGCCACAGTTGGAATTATTAGCTGCCATCGATCCCAGTCCAGGTATGTAGGTTCCGGACCATATATAAAATTATATATATATATTCTGTATAAATTCTTAAAACTTTTATAATAAAATTCTTCGGACTGTACAAACTCTTAGAATCTTGAATGAATCATTATCAATAAGTATTTTTTACTCAGTTAAATAAATATATTTTTATAATTTTTATTATTTTTAGAGACAGAGCCACCAAGCTTGGCTGAATGTCGAGCGGCTCTAGAAGCCGTGAGAATAGTAGTGGCTACGTTAGTGGATTTCGTTCGACAACATGGAAACAATGGCACATGCGGTAACAATCGGAAATCAGTGCCGCAGGATAGTGGAGGTGGCGGTCCCATTGGGAGCTCATGTCCAGGTACAGCGACCAGCAAATACAAAGTCAGCATGTGCAGAGATTTAGCCCTGCGCGGCACTTGCCCACGATCCAACAATTGTACCTTCGCTCATAGCGACACCGAGCTTGATAAGTAAGTTTATTTATTTGATACAATTATTCATTTTATTTTCTATCTGGTACCTGTTTTTAAGAAAATTATTAAAGAATATTGAAGAAAAGAAATCTCAATATCAAAAAATAATGGATAGAAAATAATAATTTTTATTATCAATTACAATTTTTCGATAATAATATCTCAAATGAAGAGATTATTTGGCTATACGTAATCATTTTACTGCTACAATGATTTGCAGATTCTAGACACATGCAATTCTTTTCAAATGGGTTTTTCATACGAAAAATGAGTTTTTTTTTCTATACAGGTACAGATCAAAAAATCGTAAATTAAGTGTCAGAGCAAATTCAAATCAGACGGAATCGAAGGGTGAGAAGAACAACAAGATTTTTAATAAGCAAAACGGTGATTTAACGACTTACCATTCCGTAAAAGCACATGACAGTGATTACTTCAGATGGTCCACCCTGTATGTGTTTTATGCCCTTACAACCTCCTTAATAGTGTGTGTGTGTGTGTGTGTGTGTGTGTGCGCGCGTGCGCGCGTGCGCGCGCGTGTGTGTGTAATACAGAATATTTTATTTGTATCAAAACCTAATAAAATTAAGAGTTATAACATATTTAATAAAATAGAATCTTATTAATAAAATGATATTTTTCGCAATAAGAGTTTTCTTATTTGAAATAAAGGAGGATTATATATACTCGCGATTGTCCGAATGTTTCGGCTCGTGATTATTAGCATCTCAGATTGATTGTGTCTTATTGTGCCAATGTTTCGGCGCACAGTCATATTTTAGATTAATTAAATTTAAAATTCATGTACTTAGAATATTACATTATTCGAACATCTAACTTTGACTAATCCTAAAGGCGCTTTTCACTGTATTATGTTGTTACATTTACTCGGTCTGTTTAAAATAAAATCTATCACCTATATATAAAAAAAATTATAAAATTTATAGAATTTATAAGTAATTAATTATATATGGTAATACATATCATGATATTATATTAATCGTTATATAATTTAAGCAGTTATCATAATCTATCAAAACAAAGGGGGGCATAAGACGATTTTACGTATACTATTTGAATAATAAATATGAGAAAGTTTACAATGTATATTTATAACTTGATGTATTTGTAATTACGTTGTATTTACTTATTCTATTAATACAACTGGTTACATTTTTGAAAAGATTACTGTTTTTTCTTCTTTAATTATTAGTTGTAGTATCATAAGTGAATGATTAATTGAAGGACCATTAAGAGAAGAAAAAGGGACATCAAAATATAAATATTTTTCTCTCGAGAAAATGCAAACATTTTATACAGAAATTAAATAAATCGTAAAAATAGTTAATATCAGATACTATTACAATTATGATTTCAGTTGCTGCTTTGCTGTAAGGATTAGCTTCGATTTAAGAATGAGATCATATTAACGTTCCACTAAAACTCGATCGTGAATAGAAAGTAAATTAGAATGTAGGCGATAATTAATTCGCAAATAAATTAATACTAGTTTCAATTGTTGTTTTATACTATCTACTCGAAATCGTGACAAGTAAAGGTATTGTAACTTGCATTGCTGTAAATTTGTACTGTACTGTTGAATACATATTTTATGTTCACGAAAAGTCATGACGTTATCTCACGACAAATCATTGTCAGTAAAAAAGACTATATATTTTGTAAGCTTGATAGAAAATTGCTGAAAGTAAATTTGATATACACACTTTTATTATTCACAAATTTTAGATAATATAGAGAATCATATATAGAACAAATCAAGTAATACTTACAAATATCTAAATGGAATTTAAATTTTCAAAAAGAAAATTAGATATAAAAAATTGTATCCTAAGACAGATGAAAAGATTCATCGGACAAAAGGTAAAATCAATTTCCGTGATATGGAATACGAACACGGCACGTGTCACCACCAGTTTAGGACCCTACTGTGAAAAATGGACAGTATTGGAAAAACGACAGTATTCTAACTGGACAGTTTCACACACACAATCGGAGAACAGATAACGAATGTAAATTACGACGCCATGTGTCCAAGTCAGCTTGCAACTCACATATCTTCAGAGAAATCATTCAAAAGATTACTTTTTTAAAATAATTTAATCTATTTATCACTAGGTCTATTCTTAAATGTTTTAAAAATTAAACCGTATAAATATATAGCTCCTCTTTCCTGCATTAATATGTATGTCCATTATTTTTAAATCATTTATATTCCAGTATTAATTATTATATGTATTGTTAATTATCATTTTTATTTATTACTCTCTCTCAGTTTTAATTTTTGTTTATTTTTATTTCTTTTGAAATTTTATTTTAATTTTAAAAAATTTAATTTGGTTTTTTATTTGTATTCTTAGACATTGGATGTTGAAAATCCAGAAGATAAGAAAAACACGATAACGTTCAATTAAACTTTGTGGAGTAAAAAGACCGTTTCAAATTTCAATGAGAAATATTAAGAAATAGTTAGTTCTCTAAATACCTAACCTTTAAGATCCCAAACTCAAAAAGAGGGATTTGAGGGATTTTTATATACATAATATACGAGCACAAATACTTGTCACGAATAACGCTTATAACATATAATTTCCCGTAAAAATCTTTTGCAGTCACTCGACGTGCGTAGTTTGAGAAGTTCGTGAAAACTTCTCGCCCTCTACGGTCTTCGGAATTAGATCGGAACTTCTTACCTACTACGCAGATGTAAGATCTTTGCAAAGGGCAAAAAGTTAGAACGAGGTGGCACTGTCGGTGTAATCTTCGTTCTCGCCGCTATCAAAGTAAAATCTCACCGCTTTTCTCTAATATAAATGACTTTTTCAAAATTTACCTACAACTTATTTAAATAAATTATAATTATAATTTCAAATTTTATTAATTTATTAAAATTAAATTTGTATGTTAAACTCCTTATTAAATTCGAACGAATCTTGAGACGAGGGGACCTTGAAGAGGCACACGAAACTGGCTCACTCGTCGTTGCGTGCGGTCGCTCCTGCTTTTCGCGTGATCACCGCCTTTCGAGCAGCGCGCGCCCTCGAGGAGGAAGCGATACCCTCGAAGAAGCGATTTCGAGAAAACGAGAGCGTGTAGTTACAGCAAAATCGCGCGCGAACGCGAAGGGAAACACGTGCGCGGCCTCGGTGCTTTCGCGCGAAGGCCGCTCGTCGTTATTACATATGTGCCCCACGAACCGATCGATCTCACGATACGAACTCGAATACTATACGTAAGGAAGGATTTTGCCTCTCTCTTTCTCTTTTTCATTTATCTTTTTCTTTGTTTTACAATTTTTATCTTATGATATAATTATATACATTGTTGGAAAAAATGTATCAAATTTAACATAAATTGCATGTCTCAAATGGTTCATACAAATTTTTGAGTTAATTTAACTATGTTAGAAGGTTACACAAACATTACATATAAGAGAATAAATTCAAAATAAAGATATCGACGCAGCTTGTAAACAAACGTAAAAGTATATTTTTTTCAATAAAATTAATATTTGTGATATGTTAAATTAATCTACATTTTATTCAATTATCTTAAAATTTACGTTTTAAAACATTTTATTTTTGTTATTTGTTCACTTATTTATAAATTGTGTCATTTTGACACAAAGAAATGTCGAATATATTAATTCACAAAATCTTTAAATAGAGTAATCACATTATGTTAAATTAACACTCGAATATGTTACAAAATTCAACACAAGTTAATAAGATCTATTAATAAGAATGTGAATGCACCGTTTCCAACACAAATTCATACACAATTCTTTTTACTGTGTATAATATATGGTTATCAATCAATCTTTACATTCTTTATTTAAATTCTATATTTATATTATTATATAACATACAAAATATAAATATGTTAATAATTTTTAATTATCATTTGTAACAAATTTATGTTTGTATGTGAGCGTAATATATAACAGTCTTTCCATTTTATATCGCCACAGCCTTACAATTTCTTTTTCACACAATCGATTCAGTAAGGTTATATATACATATATTGATGGTTAGAAACGTTTTATTAGTGAATATTTTATATATTTCTTTATATCCTCGTGTATTTCTGGATTCATAGATAGATGTGTATGACGTAAACTTTTGTTCCTAACTTCTTCACGGTACATGCGGTGATATGAGAGTTGCGAAATATGGCATCGATTGAGCCGGAATTGTTAGCGAGCGTGTACAGTTATTGAGATAAATTAGTATAATACGCCGCTAAGGTTGCAGTAATAAAACGTCATTTCTTTTCTCGAGATCAAGGTTTCCTCAATCGTCATGCTTCTGCGCGTTCATTCTATACAAGTAATTTACTGAAAGTTTTTAACTTCTTACGATAAGTTTTTCATATAATACTCTCTCTCTTCTTTTATAAAGAACTTAACTTTATTATGGTCCGTTATTGTTATCTCAAACTGTATATGTGCAAAACGACTGGCTGCTACCATTCGTGGTAAAAATAAGATTCACGAGCTATAAATTTCTTACCAGAGCGCCCGCTTTCCATATTATAATTAGCATGAGCGCACCCTTCTCATATTCTCATGTTATGTCGTATATGCAAATATTTGTACGGTACAAGACAATGCATTTCTATACATATCTGAGCTCGAGAACCCGGATATGCGACCTTATATCATCCAAACAATAGAATCGTCCGGAGAAGTCGTTAACAAATGTGAAACAATGCATCCATTCGTTTTATTTGCGTTTCCCTACATGACGCACTTCTTTTTTATATTTGAAATATTGATGAAATTTAATCATAATTTAAATAGATTTTAATGAATTTTACAAATTTAAATAATAATTTTAAAAAATTAAATATTATTATAATTTTTTATGTACATATCTCTGAATGGAGCTGCTCCGTAAACAGTCTCTATTTTTTTGAAAAAAAATAATGCTTTAAAAAAAGTAGTCAAAAAAGTATTTTAAAATATCAGTGTACTTATATACATAATGTGTACATGTAACAAAGAGCGTATTTAATGTATGCATAAAATCAATTACAACAAATGTGAAATATTATTATTAAACTCAGTTTATATTATATTATGCCATACTTTTTCGTTTTCATGTTAAATTACTTACATAACTACGGGTGCTGGAGTCAAAGGTCAAACTGACATTTCTACAGTTTTACCTTAGAAATAGAAATTTTGTTACATTTTGTGCGTCAAATCGATGTTGTATAAAATTTCTCACATATCTCATAGTTTTATTTTGTACATACATCTCATTTTTCTTTACCTTATCTGAGTAAATATGAATGCTTTGAATCAAAGGTAAAGTTATCGATATCCCACATTTGTATCCCTTTCCCCACGTTGGAATACACAACATAGGGCGGCACTATGCGAGAAAGGAAGAGAGAGGTAGAGAGAGAGAGAGAGAGAGAGAGAGATGAGAAAGGAAGAGAGAGAGAGAGAGAGAGAGAGAGAGAGAGAGAGAGAGAGAGAGAGAGAGAGAACGAGAGTTCGAGGGGGAGAAACGCGGCGCCGTGGCAAACGTCGCGACGCTCAGTCTACCGGCGTCGTCCGAACATGTACGATCCGTTAAGGCGTTACTACTCGCCGTCTCTTGAAATCACCGCCATCAACGACGACGACGCCGACAACGGGGACGACAACGGTCTCGTCGCGACCTTGCCCGCGAAAGATCGATCCGACAACATGTCGCGGATTAGAGCAAAACATCAATGTCCTAGGGCCGGTCCTGCCAACGTTTCACTAACTAACAGTGCAGTTTAAATCTTTAAAAGAGAGTGTTACTAAATCTATCATTGTTTATGGAAGACTAAAAAAAAAATATTCAACTATTTTAACAAGCACTAAAATTGGAAACTTAATAACAACGATAATAGTATTCACTATACAAGTGATATTCAATAGTGTAGGTAGAAAAAAATAAGTTTTAAATGGAGAAAAATTCAATCTTATTTTATTTACACTGTAATTATGTGTTGAAATTTATTTTCATGTTAATTAGCATAAAACAATGTCATAAATTAATAACAAGAAGCTTTAGTCATTAAAAATTTTATTAATTTTATTTTTTTAACCATTTAAAAGTCTGAATCATTAAAAAAATTTAATATAAAATTTAATATAAAGTTCCATTTATAATTAATATTTTAAAGGAACTTTTAAAGAGACCGGCTCGTTCCTTGCTAAATGCATATATATATCTCACTAAAGTATCGCAGCTAAACAATATTTGAACGTGGTATTATGATCAATAATAATAATAATAATAATAATATTCTTTTAACTGCAAGTAACGTCGAATGACAGTAACAGAATCGATCCTAGATCGCATCGAGACCGCGAGTGCAAAGATTGGCGTTTTGTTGTAAAACGTTGAATATGAAGAGTATCGTCCTTATAAGGATGATTTAATTCAAATCATTTTTGTGATTTCCTAATAGTGACAAAAAGTGAAAGAGTTTTGATTAATTGCTTCCTTTTCTGAAACAATTCAGAACGAATTGGTTCGTCACATTGGTAACGCTTATCGTGAACCATTCCCCTTCGCAGAGATGGTTAGAAACGTGAAAGAGACGGCGCGAAAGCGCTTGCGCCTTTCGTGGCGTCCTTGGATGCGGTTACATGAAGCCAGCGTCTAGACGCCAGGACGCGCTTTTAATTTCTCAGCGTCTTTGAAACAGATAGATGGAGTGACGTGATTGAAAATAGCAAGTGGTGATCTGTTGGTTTTTTCTCAATTCAAGGTTGTCAATTCATCGATGGTCTTTTTGTTGCAGTGAAATAATTTATCTTCGGGATTTTTTTACAGGAATACTATAAATCCCAGTGATTAACATCCGAAACTTGTATAATAAGCTATGATAATTTTATGAAAATTTTAGTTTTTGCTACAGGCAATTAAATAAGCTTAATCCTTTGAGACTTTTTAAAATGTATTTTAGCATTTTGATTGGTATCTGATTAGTATATGTATATATTAGTGACAACATAACGAATTTTAACTTGTATGCATTAATTTTCTTCATAGTAACTAATTTTTATTTTATTGATTATTATTATCAATATCACTTATTTAATAATTTGACAGTACATTTTTGTATTCTACAATCGTAAAAAGTTTTATGTTTCTTGTGTAACTGTATAATAAAATTGTGTTTTTTATACTTTTTGCATTATTCAAAAGTATCTTCAGATATAAATTTTCTTTTTCAGTCTTTTATCTCTGTGCAGTTCTAAAAATGCGCTTTAGGTAATTCGAGAGCGAACTCTTCGATTTCGCATGCGTAAAACGCGATGGCAGTTCAATCGTCATTCCTATTTACGTTTAGACGAATTGGCACTCAAATGACAGCTTCGCATTTCAGTATTACTGATGTACAGGCTCTCAGTGTCATTTAATCTGCTTGTAAACCGGAAACTACATAGGCATTCTCATTATTCACTCCCCAAAGATTAATTCTGTTCTGTGAATTCTGACATTTTCTCAACGAATGCGCAGTTTTTTTATGTCCTAACAATTTATCAAAAATATACTGGGTTTATAATATTTAAATGAAGCAAAGATTCCTTTCTCTTTTTCAATTTAAATGTCGTAAATTTAGAAACGCACGCACGCAATTTGAAAACAATAAATTTCCTGGAATAACAAATAGAAATTATATGTTGCTGAATATTAATTATATGTATAAAAGAAACAAAATTCCACGAAAGAGTTATATGAGTTATATATACGCGTGGGATGCTATTTATAAAAATAAAATTAATTGGGAATCTAATAACGGATAATTGAGAGCACAGAGTTGTCAAAATTGTTCACAACTGTGTTTTCCAGTTCTATTATGCGAATTTAATTTATGTTAAAATTACGTAATCTGACATTTTACAACGTCATCCTTCACAGAAATAATTTATTGAATGAGAAATATTCAAGCTTCGATCGAATCGCCAATGACATACGTCGACATTTTTTAAATTTTAATTTCTAGAGAGAGGAGGGATCCATTGACACATATTGACGTGCAGAGCGTGAATGTGTCTGTCGATCTTTCAAAACTTTATTTGCCTTCACATTCTCTCGGATACTAGACGTGGAGGACAAAGAAATTAATTCGCCAATTGAAAGGTTAACTGAAAGCCGTCATATATTGAACAGATCAAGTAGAAAATATCGCAAGAAAATTATGCCAATTGTGATTAAAAATAATGAATGGCAAAATAATATTTAAAAGATAAAAAGATAATATTTTTTATTAAAAAGGAGATAAAATTGTTATTTCTAAAAAGACAAAATTAGAAATCTTGAATATTTAATTTAAAAAAATAAAATAATGTCCAATACTCAATAAATGAAGCAAATGAAAAAAAAACTAAACGTTATTCTTATTAATTTTATATGTATAAATTCTGCAGTAATTAATTTTTAGCATAGGGGGAGTATATGTATAATAAACTAATTTAATAATATATTAATTAATAAAGTTATAATAATAAATGTATTAATAAACTTGTATAAATCTTTGAAATGAAGTAAATTTTATTAGAAAATAATTTCATTTTACGAATTCTATGATTTATTCCAGAATATTCATGATAACTAAATTATCGTCAATTTTTTCGTTCCATTATTACATATATATATACGATGAAAGCGATACTGACACCTTACTATGTATGGTACACACTTTCATACACACAAAGAGTAATTGCTAATGGGCTAGGAGTAGAGCCTCTATGAATATTGCAATATGTAAATCCAGGCCTCTCTTGAACTTGTTCTACTATCAACTTCTCCTTACCCTGACCTCTTCTCGGTTACCTTACTGTCCGCGTTTCTATCACTACATTCGGAAACGTTACCTTGGTGTCTTCTTGTATCATCTCATTCTTGTTTAACATTGGGTGAACAACAAGGATAAAACGATACATAGAAGCACTCAGGAAATGTTCCCGAGCGTAGCTCAGAGGAAGTCAAACATTCGCACAGGCTGTGGTTATTAATATTTAACGCTTAATAAAGAACTCTCTCTCTCTCTCTCTCTCTCTCTCTCTCTCTCTCTCTCTCTCTCGCGAGTTGCGAAACTTGATATTGTTTCTCGTCAAGAAAACGGAGCCCATTTTAAGCCATTCTACGATGCTCTGAAAGCATTTTTTCACCATCAACTTATGTGCTGAAAAAAGTCTAGACATTTGAAGTGCATATTATGTCCTTTAACTAGAGACAAATAAAATGCATTTATTTAACATTATTAGAAATAGTTTAGTAATTTTGTTAAACATTTTACATCTTACTAATTGGCAAATAGTTATTTTCTGTTAGGTGCATTTCCTCGTGGCTTTCTTTCTCGTTTTTTAAAAATTATAAATTTCGGACAAATTGTGAAAGTCTGTTCTTCAATTGTGAATCTGTTCTTCAAATATTCTTATTTTTAGAATTCTGAAACGTTTATCTTTTATTTTAAAAATCATTGTTATATTAAATTATAAAATTAAACCATGCGTCACATTCAGAGTTATGAATGTAGAATAAGAGGCAAATATTTTTTCGCAATTTTCAAATTAAATTCTCGTCACGGGCGAGTTTTATACGAGCTCAAAAATTTTATAAGCTTGCGTAATGAAAAAGCTGTATATATGAGGTGCATCTTGAAAAAACCCACGTCAAAATAGATTACGTATATCTGTATTTCTACTTTATATTCGAAATTTCAACCACTTTCAACATAAGTGATCTACATCTATTATACACGTTCGTATGTATCATTATTAAAATTTCAGAAAGTATCGTCGTGACGTAAATATCTTCACTAACAGAAACGAGATGTAAATTTGTCTCCGTGCTGTTTGCAAAATTAATATGAGATACTACTTTTTCTTTTACCTCCCCTCCCCCTCCCTCGAGATAATACGGTGTGTTAATCTTCGCGGGTCAAACATATAAAAAATAACAGAACTTATTTTCAAGAAAATAGCGTTAATTATCTACTAATCGTAATAGAAAAAAATTAAATATGCACATATAAAAAAATAACGAAAGAAAAGAATTATATAGCGTCCTATTATTTCTTTCTTTCTAATTTCTTCAGTTTGTTTACCTTATATTAAAATAGGTAGATATTATTATATGTATGTACTTTATTAATAATAGATATTACATTATTATTTGTATTAAAAGAGATTTAGTTTCGCCGTGGTGCATCATCAAGATATGGTCGCGACTACGATCATGTGATTACGATAAATCAAGCTTCTAAAATTGCAGCAATTATCCGGCGAATCTCTTGCAGTTTCGCTCGAGTTGTCTTTCCGATACCGGAGAGGAAGTTTCGCGTAAGGAAAGTTGCGCTGATAGGTCGATGTCTGCACCAACTTCGCTATAAATGTTAATGAACTGTCGACAGTTGGAAAGTGTCGCCTTCCAATTTTGAGCGAAATTTTGATAGATTACCTAATTAGCCGTAGTGCATTAATTTTGCGGCAAAGTTAAATTGTTGCGACAAATGTCATCGCGCGCGCGCGCGCGCATGTCTTATAACAGAATGAAATTCAAAAGAATGTATCTAAATTTTTTCCTTGCAAGTTTTAATATATTATATATTTCTCATAGTATATTTTAAATATTAATTAAGAAAAAGGATTCTTATTGTAATTAAATAATAGTGTATCAGATATCAATTCAGATTCAATTCAGATCAGTGAAAAATATTTCAGAAATACATAGTTGAAAGAATATATTGAATATAATTAGAGATATTAATGAACATAAAGTTCAATATTAAAAATTAAGTATTAATTGTAGATTAAAATAAAAACTATTCTAAAAATAAATTAGAATGATAATTTATTTTAATCGAATTAGATTCAAGCATCTCGACAAAAGCAGGATTAATGAGAAAATCTATCGTAATAATTTGTAAATGTGTCAGTAATGGAATTAAATGTTATATTCATGTCTTTTGAACTGTCAATACTTGATCCGTCAATCCATTGCTAAAGAAGTTGGAAGACCCTAAATTATATACGTGTGTAATCATATGAATATAAAACGTAGCGGTTCCAAGAAAACGAAGGAGAAATCGTTGATGGGACGTTTTCGTGGCTTGTCGTTAATAACACAGTCAGACGTATTTACAGATACTCGCGATTACACAAGCATACATAAAAGCCAGTACGATTGTAATTTTGATGTTTGCCATTACGATCGGTAACTGAAGTATGAAAGAAAAAGAAAGTTTATGTTTAAAAAACCATTATATCTACATTGAGTTTATTGCTGTATTTCTTAATTGTAACATTGCTATAAAGTAGACCGGCGTTTTTATAATTATCATACATATGAAAAAAATAATTAAAAATAAAAATAATTAAACAGACATTAGATATTTCTATTTAATCTCATGAATATAATTTAATGTTTTATTTATATGCATTTATTTTAATTAAATTACCTCGTATTCCAAGCATGTTTATGACATTGTTTACTTATGCAAATATTTCTCCATTAATTAATCTAATTAAATTGTAATTTTATTTAATTATTTTATTTAGTCATTTCAAAGCACAATCTTTTTTCTCTTTATGATAATTTTTATAACACATACTCTAATATAAATGTATCATTTTTAACTCATATTTTCTTAAAAAAAAGGAATTGGTTTATTTTTAACTAGTTAATTCTTTAAAAGCAGATTGTCTATTATGGAACAAACAATAAATGATCAAATTACAAAGTACAAAGACTTTCACGAACAATGTAAGAATTAAAGAGAATTATTTTGAACAAAATGCGAAATTATACCGCTACTTAAGATGAGAGTAAAACACTATTATTATGGAAAGTGATTGTAATAAATGGAGAACCTGGACTGCAGTGGACAGATACGTTTGGATCGAAAAAATGATAGAAGTGATACTTTTGTATGCAATATAAAGGTTTAACTCGTCTCAGAGATGGAATATTTAAGTCGCTATCTTAGCGCTATGATCCAAAAACGATTATAAAAATCGACAAACCTGTCGATAGATTTTAATAGATGAATAATTAATATGATATTGGTCTGGAATGGAAGTCAGCGAGCCTCCGGATGAGGAGGTCTACCGTCGAATACTCAAGATCAACTTTTCTTCAAGCCTTGAGGGTGTTCCCCTTTTTCGAAACAACCTGAGCATTATTGATGAATCAAGAAATATCACTCTAATCGCCCTTAAGGGCGTTATAATGATCAGCATCATCGTCACCGCATTGTTAGGCAATGCTTTGGTAATCGCCAGCGTCAGAAGACATCGGAAGTTGCGGGTGCCCACCAATCGCTATGTAGTTTCCTTAGCAATGGCGGATCTTTTAGTGGCAATATGCGCCATGACGTTTAATGCTTCCGTCGAGCTTTCCGGTGGTAAATGGCTCCTAGGAAGTATCATGTGCGACGTGTGGAATTCGATGGACGTTTATTTCAGTACCGCCAGTATCCTCCATCTTTGTTGTATCAGCGTCGATAGGTATTATGCAATAGTCAGACCGCTGGAGTACCCAGCCATTATGAGGACTGTAACAGTTACTGCCATGCTGAGTAGTGCTTGGACTCTGCCGGCCCTGATTAGCTTTATACCTATCTTCATGGGCTGGTACACCACGCAGCAACACCTGGACTTCCGTCGGAAGAATCCGCAGGTAGATTGGCCGAGACTGCTTTGTGATTAAAAAATTTATGGATTTAAAAGTTCAAGAACTCTCAAGAGAATAAGAGCAAAAATTTACGAATTAAAAAATTATTCTTTAAGAATGCAGAAATTAATTGTTTGAAATTTAAGAAATATATTTTTAATATACTTCTTAAATCTCAATCAATTATAATTTAAGTGTATTTATTTCATGATGAAATCTTCTTTTTGCTAATCTAATACACCATTGCCATGCTACAAGTTATCACTTTACAATTACTTGTACAATCCATCAATCTCATTTCGATGCCGTATTTCTGATCATTTCTTTTTTTACAATTTGTTGCTCCATCAATTTATTTTTTAAAATAATTTAGATACTCATAAAATTATTCTTCTACTAAATTTTTCATAGAATTCATAAATATGTATATTTAGTACTTTATTTTAATAAGACCTTCAGTAAAAGACAAGACGATTAAAGAACTTATTTTTAAATTCATATTTAAAAGATTGCATATTACAAAATTTTTGGTAAGAGTAAAGATTGTGTACATATATGCTATACTAAGATATCTATGAGAAAATTTCTCGTGGATTTATAACATAATTCGAAAATATACATTTTAATTCATATTACTTCTTTTATTAAAAATGACGCGAACATCACTTTTGTGTTCATCGCCTCGAAACATAAAATTAACAAAATAATAATAATCAAAATATTTTGATATCATCCAATTTCAAAGCGAATCAATATATTGTTTCTGTTTAAGAGCTCCGAAGCGTTTGGTTCTCTACTCATCTCTTATAGAGATATATCAAATAACGACTTTTTATTTCAATATCTCTATAGCTCTTATTGTCTTCCTATATCATGTTATTACTTGATTTGTCATTTTTCCGATTTTATTGTCTGTCGACTGCGCTCAATCCATACTTGTGACACTGTCTATTATATCTAGAAGACATATAACCTAGATAGATCAATATTTCAATAAAAAGTTAATTAATATACTTCTCGAAAAATTCTTCAGTCTAAATATTCTACTTTGTTGCAATAATACGCTTATGCAATATAAATATTTTCTTATATATTGATTTTTTATATGAAAAAAATAATTTTAAATAATTTATCAAGAGTAAAACATAATTTTAATAAAAAAAATAATAATAAACTTACAAAACAAATACTGTGAAATTATTGAATAATAAATAAAATTATTGGAGCATCAAAATGGTAATAATATATAACTTTTGTCAGAAAATGAAAAGATACGTTATCTTTTCATTTTAAAATAAAAATATTTGTCTCGATGTGTAATTCATTGATATTTCAGTTATATAATTTTGTTATATTTAGCAGAGATACAAATTGTGATGTTATATACGATATAATTTATATTTTTTATTATATTATTTCATCGTATATTTCAGTCTTGTGTGAGGCATCGATTTTTAATTGATGGAGTACGCCGTCGGAAAACTGCCAGTGATAAGACTCATTTATCAACGCTTTTCTTAACCGTCACAGTTACTTGCGACTTCTTTCCCCTGTAGTAATTACTGATCCCGAATTTAATTGATCTTAAAAAATAGAATCCGGCTAATCACTGCAATTTCTCAAATTAATGCTCTTATGTTCTTAATACTGTTATTAACACTGTACTAATCACAATGATGGCGACATCAATTGAGTATCACCATTAATATTTTCCTTATAATAATTAATATTTTCTTAACAGCTATTAATGTAAATGGCTTGCAACAGTCTCTTATCAACTTAAGATTTAGTGGGTTTCCAGAGATAGCATTAGATTAATTACAGTATTTATCTTTCCTCTTCAATTAGTATATATTTTTAATGAATAACTCTCGTAATCTCGCTCGTTAGGAAAACTGTATTATTACTTCAGTTTGTATCAATCCCTTAATTACAGAGAAATTAATTTCACATCATAATTTGTGTCTTGCTAATACCCCATCACTTTCCGGAGTAAATTAGATACAAAGACCAATAATTATATTTAAAAGGCATATAGAACGGATGCTAGTTTCGTCTATAATTAATCGTGTAATTAGCGTAGATTACCTTGTATTAATTTGGCAAAAGTCAATTTATTAACGTTGATATTACAGTAATAAATCAGCTATGACGCCATATTCCCTGATAATGAGAGAAGAAAAAGAAATTTGAGAATTTTAGAAAAGAAATTTGACGCAATGGAGGGAAACTAAAAGAGCATATCCCTTTAAATTTCGTTATAAATAACATCTTTGAATTTTTGATACTTTAATGGTTTATTTTAGTAACTTTTTTAATATCACAGTTTTTTTACGATCCCGCAATTATACTCAAAGATAACTATTATTAAAGTAGCTATTAAAGGAGTAATAAAATAACGGTTCATCCATTGTTCCCATTCATTTAATTTTACATTCACGAATATGTCAAACCTTTCAGTTTTTATTTTTTTACAAATTTTTAAAATCAATCTTCCTGTGGTTTATTTATCTTATATATATATGCATATATTCATAAAATTGAATTGCAAGTTCATATAGAAATTTTCTTAAATTCTTTATACTCTCTGAAATTATTTAGAAGTCTCATATACTTTTTGCAAAACTCATTCTGAACGGGTTTATAATTTGTGAAGGGCAAGGAGAAATTTTCACGATAATCCTACAAGTTTTATGCAACTGAAAATGCTTCGACTTCTGCAATCTCAGATTTGCATGTTCGTGGTGAACCTCCCATATGCGGTGATCAGTTCCTGTGTGTCCTTTTGGATTCCGGGTGTCGTGATGATCATCATGTACTGCAAAATTTACAAGGAGGCAGTCAGACAGAGAGCGGCCCTCAGTAGGGCGTCCAGCAGCACGGTGTTGAACAACGTTCATGTACGTCGCTCCTCCGGCGGCTCTAGACATCATTCTAGGACGTCGCACCAGCTGCTGCTTCATCCGAGCGATGCTAGTGATTATGGAAGGCCGCCCTCTTACAGAGCTTCAGCGGCAGAACTTAACATCGAAAATGGTGAGTGCGAGAACGGACCGAGTGTGAAGAAGAAAAGCGAAATAAAATAAAATAAAATAATATAAGAAGAAAAATAAAGCGAGAGGTAAAAAAATACAATAAAATAGTATAAAAATACTAAACAATGTTGAAAAAAATCTTTAGGGGGGAAGGGGACATCAAATCTTATGCATCGAGTGCACGAAAAGTATTGGAGCGAGAATGGTGTCCTTCAATTATCGACGAAATTGAGTGGTGGCGAATTCAATCGCGTTTCCCTTCCATCAGTCGTCTCTCGTCAAAAGACCTTAATGCATGTTCCAGCCGACGTGCACAAAGCGAAGATTATTACTTTCGCCCGCGGCCACTTGCCTTTTTCTCGCTACGCTTGATACGTCGAAACCGTGTAATCATCGATCCGAGGAGAAATTTCGCTCGGATTTCGTAGCAAATGACATGCAGTGCAAAAATGCACGACAGAACGTTCATTATGTCGGTCGTTTTAACGACACAAAGAACCTCGCAAAGAACATTAATAAAATTCTCCCGATATGTGAATTACACTTTTTCAGTGCACTCGGTAATAAATGCAAGTCGTATCATTTATCATTTTTCGTATCATTTTTCATGTATTTAAAGAACAGTTTTAGAGGTTAAGTTCAATAGTGAAAATTATCCATCGCATCTAAATTTTTAATATTCATTTTCCTTCCCTTTTTAATGTTTATATACTTAAAGGAAAAATCTAAAGCTAAAGAATTAAAAAATAATCGTTCTCGAAATGTTTCGTAATATTTGAAACGTTATAAAAAATATTTAAAAAATAAAACGTTTCGATGTTTTCATCTAAATAATTCATTTTTAGCTTTAATAAAAGACATTTTCATGAATACAATTGTACTGTTAAAAATCAAGGGTACAAAGAAATAATGTTAGAATGCCTTTATATTGAAATTTGTAATAAATAAAATAATTGAGCAACAAGGAATTCGTTTTCGAGCTAAATTAACAATTAAAAGCATCGTTTCATAACAAAATTAAATTTAACAATAATATACAGAAGATACTCGCGAACATATAAAAATCGGAAAGCATTTTCTTTTCAAAGCATTAATATTTTTAACCGTAAATAGCCAAAAATTTCAGTAAGCAATTCTACGATTACTATGACCTGATTTTGAAATACAACAAATATCTACAAAAATTACACATTATATAGAATAATGCAGTATACAATACTCATTGTCAGTGTCTTCCAAAACAAGAGAGAGTTGGTTTTCAATCAGATTCTCCGACAAATTCCACAACTTTCATTTTTTCGCGTTCAGGGATCGTTTTATTTCTACATTTTGTTATGTATTTTTATTCATGAAAACCGGAAATTATCATAATAATGACTACACTCAAGGAAAAATTGGTACATTGAAATAAAAAATAAAATTTTTATTCACATCATTATGAAATTGTTGTCAGTTATGTTTCAATCATTTAAAAACTAATACAGAGTTGCTATTAAAAACTCTGAATTAATTTTTAAATGATTGAAGCATAATTCACGTTCGATTTCGTAATGATATTAAATAATGATCTTATTAACTTTATTTCACACATAATGTACCAATTTTTCTTTGAGTGTTATTATAATTATGATAATTTTTGGTTTCCATGAAGAAAAGTAGACATAAAAGAAATAAAACGATTCCCAAACGGTCGCGAAAAAAATTGTGTCCTTTTGTTTCGCAAATACATTCCACACGAAATAATGTATTGATTGAAACTGTCATTATGGTATAAATGTTGAACGATAAATGGTATTCATCGCATTAGAAAGCAATTATATCTACAAACGCGTTTAGCGTCGACGCAAATTAAATATCTATATCATTATCATATACGCATTACAATACTGTTTCGATATTGTGACTGACGCGATATGCAATGACGACCGTGAAGCATTCTAGTTGAAATGTACGTCGTGACGGATTTTGCGGATATTATTTTCCCTGCTTCGAGAGAGTGGCAACGGTTCTGCAAAAGGAAGATAAAAATTCCTATGCACTTCCCGTAGCGCTTTATCTGATGGCGTAGAAAAAAAGTGTATGAGAATTCTCGTCCCTGTGGATTTTTTGCAAATACATTGCGCGTTTCGCACGCCCACCAAACGAGAATTGCGGTGAATTGCTTTCAATAAAAATGTGTTTTTTGTTGGATGGAGAGACGAATCGATCGGTTTCGCATTCACTTTCATATCACGATGTTACATCTCTAGCAATTTTCTCGTATCCTCAACGACAGTGTATTTAAAAGCTTGCGACGATTTTTCCCTCTCTTCCTTTTTTCTCTCTCTCTCTTTCTCTCTCTCTCTCTCTCTCTCTCTCTCTCTCTTCCTCTCTTTTTCTAGCTCACTTAGTTGGCATCCCATCGCTTTGTACATGAAAATAACGTCAGGAAGTCATGTTTCTAATTTTGACACGTAATCCGTGGAGTAGCATAGTCTCTGCTCGTCCTCTGCGAGCCAAGTAAACACGTCTAGTAATAGATCACATAATCTAGTAATAGATCATCTAGCAATGCATCATGCATTATATTCTACAAGGCGAGGGTGTTGATAACATCGTATAATGTTTAGAATAATTGCGTATGACGTGTATTCTTCATGTTTACGTGTGTAATAGATCTGATTATGAATAACAAATAAAATTATCCAATAATATATGATATAATTGCACATAGCATACCAAATAATACTAAATTCATATAAATCATAATAACGTCAGCGTATCAAATTCACTACTCTTCCGTACTAACTAATGTAATAATTCACGAATACGAAATTATTTATGCAAATAATAATTCATAATAAAAATAATAATCGCACAAATAAAAATTTATGAAAATATATATTTACGTTTTCTGCTAATTTTTATTAAAATCATTTCTAAATACGATTATTTGCCGATATTAACTTAAATAAATTTTACTAGGTATTTAATAGCTTTTTTTAATTCTTTAAATAGGATGTAAAATATAAATGGAGTGTGAGTGGAAAATTGCAACCATAATTGTCGACATTTCTACGCATTTTTCAACATGTTCCTCGTTTTTATAAATGAAAACATTTATAAAAGTTATTTCTAATGAAAACTTTTGAAAACGTTTTTTTTTTTATTAAAAAACGAATAAACATAAAGGCTTAAATATCAGCACACAAACAGATCAAAATACATTGCAATATCGAGAGAGAAATATTTCAAAATATATTGTATGATTTTGCCGCGGGATTTTCAACAGCCCTTTTCCTTTTTTTCCTTCTC